GTGGCGGGCACCTGTAATTCCAGCTACTCAGGAAACTGTGGCAGGAGAATTGCTTGAACCTGGGAGGCGGAGGCTGCAGTGAGTGAGATTGTGCCACTGCACTCCAATCTGGGCGACAGAGTGAGACCGTCTCAAAAACAAACCAAAACAAGAATACAATAAGTGGAAGTTTGGTGCCACTGTCTTGGTTCATGATAAGGAGCCAGCAGTTTTACCCATTATTGCTTTTGTACCATCAGTGCAAGCATCAACATAGTTAAAAAGGCAAATAATGTCTTAATTATTATGAAAATAGTTTTGCCTCTAGGGCCCCTTTCTAGGGGTTCATTGACCATGCTTCAAAAATTGCTGCCTTAGAGAAACTGAAGGAGTGTTACTTATCAGCTATGTGATCCTGGACAATTCACAAAACTCTTTATTGAGCTACGTAAAAGAAATGATAATGTCCTCAGAGTTGTTCATCAGGATTAAGAGATGTGAAAATGTTTTGTACAAATATTTTGTATATTGTGTAGCATCATAAAAATGTAAGACCTTATTAATACTTGTAACAAATGATATCAGGGTTCAGTGGCTATCACTGACTTCATCCTAACAATTTGGTGGTGACGAAAGTTCACACATTTTGTTTCCGTTGTTTCTCTCACTAGCAATCTTTACATTTCTACATTAAGACCTTTACAATCAGAGACACAAAACCGATTCATTAATCATCAATGTTGCTGCCAGTTGAATATTTCTAAGTTTTTATCATATGCCTACCCTATCTTGACCAGTCAAACTTGACTAAGGCTTCCCCTTATGTCTGAATATGTCCATTTGTTTAATCTAAATAATGTCAGGTTGTGTTCATTTGCTTCTCTTCCCTTCTAAAACTTGTCTCCCCATGCCTACTTACTGAAATATCATTCCTATACTTACAGAGATTAATTAAGTCAATCTTCTCTGGCTACCCAAGTAGGATAACCTTTCTCCCCTGAACACGCAGCACTTAATGCCTTATATTACTAGATATCTTCTCTTTGCTTGCCTTTCCTTAACTAGACTGTAATCTGAGGGTAAGTACATCTTACATTTTTATTACCTTTAGCATCTATTAGCACAATGCATTCAGTCTGGCTAATGGTCCTACATGTACTCTACTAGAGACTAGTTCTAATGAAACACTGACCTTCAAACCCAAATAAAGACCTAGAAAACTATGGCAGTTTAACCTGCTTTACAGACCTAAGATCTTGTCATATACAGTTTCTAGGCAAACTTTTATCTACAAGGCTTACTCAAGTGATACGGCAAGGTAATCAATATCACAGCTTAAGAGTACAACTACTCTACAGACTAAAATTGTACTTCTCAAAGTGCCCAAGATACAGTTCAGAGAGCAAAAACAAAAATATGATAATATATATTAAGGTGTATAAGATCTAAGATGTATTTCTTTATAAGGAAAGGTAGGCCGGGTGCGATGGCTCATGCCTGTAATCCTAGCACTTTGGGAGGCCGAGGTGGGCGGATCACCTGAGGTCAGGAGTTCGTGACCAGCCTGGTCAACGTGGTGAAACCCTGTGTCTACTAAAAATACAAAAAAATAGCTGGGCGTGGTGGTGCGTGCCTGTAATCCCAGCTGCTCAGGAGGCTGAGGCAGGAGAATTGCTTGAGCTGGGAGGCAGAGGTTGCAGTGAGCTGAGATTGTGCCACTGCACTCCAGCCTGGGCAACAAGAATGACAGAACAAAGAAAGGAAAGAAAAAAAAGAAAGGAAAGAAAGGAAAGGAAGAAAGGCAGGAAAAGAAAGGAAAGGAAAGGAAAGGAAAGGAAAGGAAAGGAAAGGAAAGGAAGAAAGAAAATAAGTCTAAAAAACACCACCTATTTAAAACACAAAGTGCAATACACACATAGTGCAATACCATAAAAAATTAACTGAGTTACCTAGACCTAACCAAGTTAAAAAGCACAAATTCGAAATACAAAACTGGATGGCAAAAACAGAACACCAGTCATGAGCTGTAGCATTTATCATTATTTGAAAAGTTAAATAGCATAGGCAAGAAACCAAAGGTAGAAACTTTCTACTGAAAAAGCAACAGCAACTGAAAGGTGGCACTGCTAAATGACAAAAAGAACTTTTTGGAATCAGAATAAGCTGGGTTCAGATCCTCGTCCAGAAATTGCACCCATTTTTTTTTTTTTTTTTTTTTTTTTGAGACGGAATCTTACTCTCTCGCCCAGGCTGGAGTGCAATGGCGTGATCTCAGCTCCCTACAACCTCCACCTCCTGTGTTCAAGTGATTCTTCTGCCTCAGCCCCCTGAGTAGTTGGGACTAGAGGCACATGCCACCATGCCTGGCTAATTTTTGTATTTTCAGCAGAGACAGGGCTTCACCATGTTGACCAGGCTGGTCTCAAACTCCTGACCTCAGGTGATCTGCCCGACTCAGCCTCCCAAAATGCTGGGATTACAGGCTTGAGCCATTGTGCCTGGACAACTGTATCAAATTAATTAAATCACAAAATTTCTCTAGGCACTTGAGCCCTTATCTGTAAAATGGGGCTATAACTATCTGCCTGGCAGCAGAGCATTAGAAATAATATAAGGCAGTAAAAAGTAAAGACTTTGAAGTCAGATAGATCTGGGTTAGAACTGACTACACTTTCAATAGCTCAGGTAACATAAGCCTCAGGTTTCTCATTTGTAAGATGGATATAGTACCATCACCTCAGAGCCCTTGTGAAAATAAGGAAATATCTATAGATTATTTTTTAACAACTATAAAGTCTTAAAAGTATATCTAGTAAGTACTCAATAAGCTGTCCCTACTAGATATGTAAATATATTTATACATACAAACATACTTCACCTTGCATGGTGCCTGCCAGATTATACTTAAGTAAGTAAATGTCAACTATTATAATTATTTCCCACCACAAGACATTTCAAAGTAATGATTATAAACTTTAAGCTGTGATTTTATACCCTGTCACATTCAATTTATATAAATTAATCACTAAGAAGTTAATGGTAGTTTCTTAATTATTGCAACTACAAAATTTTCAGGGTAATTCAGGGAGTAGAAGCAGGAGTAAGTATACATTATTCACTAATAGACAGAAAGCCCAGAAAAAAGAAAACACTAGGTCAGAGATGTGTAAATCTATATTGGGCATATCAGCTAGTCACTCTATAAACTCACACTCCTTACATTACATGCTTACTTGTTAACACAAGTCATTACTTTTCTGCCAAACACAAAGTCAGACATAAATTTAATTATTTCCCAAAACTATCCTTCATTTTAAGCCATTCTGCCGGCAGTTGTCTTGGTGGCTAAACCACTTCTTCAAAGACATTTTGAAATCGGAAGCATTAAGAAACTGTAGCAACCATGTCTTTCTTTTTCTTTTTTTTTTTTGGGACAGAGTCTCGCTCTGTCGCCCTGGCTGGTGTGCAGTGGCACAATCCCTGCTCACTGCAAGCTCCATCTCTTGGATTCAAGCCATTCCCCTACCTCAGCCTCCCGAGTAGCTGGGATTACAGGCATGTGCCACCACACCCAGCTAATTTTTGTTGTTTTTGCAGAGACGGGGTTTCATCATGTTGGCCAGGCTGGTCTCAAACTCCGGACCTCAGGTGATCCGCCCACCTCGGGCTCCCAAAGTGCTGGGATTACAGGCGTGAGCCACTGCACCCAGCCGGTAGTAACCATTTCATACCACTATTCCAAGAAGCTAGAGTTGCTGCACTGTGGTTCCTAGAAACCTCTTACCTATTGGTGACTGTCTCATTTTTTTTTTTTTTTTTTCCCTGAAAAGCAGCTATGCATAGACAGGATTTTTTTAAAAAGGAGGGAGGGGCGCTGGATCTGGTGCCTCATGCCTGTAATCCCAGCATTTTGGGAGGCCGAGGCAGAAGGATCACTTGAGCTTAGCAGTTCAAGACTATGTTGTGTGGGCAACACAGTGAGACCCCTGTCTCTACATTTAAAAAAAAAAAAAAAAAAGGAAAGGGAGGGTAATTCAATGTACAAAAGGGAACGGAATGAAAAGTCTTTTTCTCACAGTAGAAGAAACTACTGTTAAGAACTTCTTATTCATTTTGCCTACTTCCAAGCTAGATTAAGTAAAAATGAGTCAGTTCTGACACCAAGCAACTGGAAAATTAATAAAATCCCAGGAATGTACCATTTACGTGGTATGATAGATTGCCTTAGTTGGAAAATTTCACATCCAAATGAAATCTATAGCTATATCTTTTTTCTTTTCGAGACAGGGTCTCAGGTGCCCAGGCTGGAGTGGATTAGCACAATCTTGGCTCTCTGAAACTGATCCTCCCACCTCAGCCTGCTGAGTAGCTAGGACTACAGGTATGTACCACCATGCCTGGCTAATTTTCATATTTTCTGTAATGACAAAGTTTCGCCATGTTGCCCAGGCTGGTCTCAAACGGGCTCAAGCAATCTACCCGCTTCGGCCTACCAAAGTGCTAGGATTACAGGCATGAGATATAGCACCAGGCCCACATTTTCTTTTGTTAAATGAAGTTAATCTATGTCTAGTAAGCAGACAATTATGTTTCCAACACAACAGAAATCTATTTCAACACTAAACACCACTGAACGATTGTGCTAAGGTTTTCATGCTAGATGTGCCCTATTAACAAAGGTAACACAATTCCACAGTTCTGTTTTTGAATACAGGGTACATATGTTATGTATCTGGAAACTTACACAAGATGTTCAAGTTGTGAATGAATTGTTTTTGACATAATGAATATTTAGTATTGCCACAGCAATGTTTAAAATATTTGGTGATACAACTTTCCTTTAAAAAAACAAAAACAACTCAGTTAAACTTTTACCACCCACCCACTATGGTTAATTCAGCTTTTCAGAGTTTTCTTTAAATGAGGGGTATACATACAATCTTATGAAACAGAAAAGCATCATCCTTTTATGTCATTCTATTAAGAGCCTTGCATATAATTTCATATGCTCCCAAACTTACCTTTTCATTTTTCTTGTCAATCTCTGGTGGCTGCTTTGCTGTTACACTTTGAGGTGTTCGAACAGCTTCACCCTCAGCCAATTCAACAGTCCGCCCATTTGGCTGCACAGGCAACAAAAAGTATCATATTATCCAACTGCTTAGCAGATCGATGCAAAGATTTATATGCAGGAAACCATATATACTACAATCAAATCCTACCTCTGTACCTAAATTTAAAAAGTTTTTGTACACCAATGTTATCTAAGAGTTGGTAGATTATTGTCCCTAATGTTTTCACATATATATATGTAACATTCATAAGCAAAATTCTGTACCACAAATTTTCTTATCTCACCAAGGTATCAGTCCCTGTAATAAAAATAATGGAAAGGAGACAGTCAAAAGGAGAATGAAACTGTTTGCAATTTGACCACCAATTAACTGTGTAATCTCGGAATATTTCACTCGTCTCTGAGGCTTATGAAGTGACAGGTATGATCTGCTCGAAAGTCAGCAAACTTGTTCTGTAAACAGCCAAATAGAAAATATTTTATTTACAAACATAATCAGGCTGTATGGCAAAATAAAGTTCAGGAAAAAAAAATATTTTACTGATTGTCATCAACAGTCCTCAGCAAAAACAAAACAAAATAGAAACTATTTTAGGTTTTAAGGGCCATATGCCTTTGTTCTTTATTTTTATTTTTTTGGCCCATATGTCTTTGTTGCAACTACATAATTCCTCCATTGTAGCATAAAAGCAGCCATAGATGATACATAAACAAATGAATGTTAGGCAATCTCTAATGGAACCTCTAATTCTGTAATTTCATGGCTCTACTGTTCTGGGAGTAAGAAGCTTTCCAACCCATTGCCACAGCCTAAAAAAGGATACAGAAGCTTTCCTAACATTCCTAAAATAAAATGACAGATAGCACTTAGAGATGCTCATGAGTAGACTCAAGTCTGTGATTTCCAAATCTGGCTTTTAACCAGAATCATTCTTTTTTTACTTTTTTTTTGAGACGGAGTTTCGCTCTTGTTGCCCAGGCTGGAGTGCAAAGGTGCAATCTCGGCTCACTGCAACCTCTGCCTCCCAGTTTCAAGCGATTCTCCTACCTCAGCCTCCTGAGCAGCTGGGATTACAGGCACAAGCCACCACGTCCGGCTAATTTTTGTATTTTTAGTAGAGACGGGGTTTCACCATGTTGGTCAGGCTGGTCGTGAACTCCTGACTTCAGGTGATCCACCCGCCTCGGCCTCTCAGAGTGCTGGGATTACAGGCGTGAGCCACCGTGCCCAGCCTCTTTTTTTACTTTTCAAACAATAATTTCTGAGCCCCATCACCAGACTGAGAAGTTGGGAGAATGGGGCCGAGGTATCTGTACTCTAACCGTCTTTCTGGATCCTACATTTTTTCACTTGTGCAGGCCCCTCAAATTCAACACGTAAGTCAGTCAATATACTTGTTTCAATGGCTTTACTTTCAGTTTTTGCAGAACACACTTTTACCAGCTACCTACTCATTACGGCAGAGCTATACTCAAGAAAACAATACAAAGTGTTCAAAATTTCTATAATATGACTTAACATGCAATTGTTAACAATGATCAGGGCTACAAAGTTGGAAAAGGAGACCATTCATATTCTCAAATCCAATTTGTAGGCTTTACAAAGATCTGTGGCAGAAAATCAAAACAAAAGCTGTTTTTTAGCTGGTTAAATTCCTAATTAACCCAAATTTAATCTGCTGGGTCTGAATCAACTTGTTAAAGTCAGACAGCTAATGCTAAAACCAGGTTTTCTCACTCTTGATTTGGCTTGCTTTCTTCTATGCTGTCTTGCCACTTCTAATGTTGCCTCTTCTAATCTCTCTTCTGTGTATTTATGTATATGTGGGCAAAGGTAAGAAACCTCAGAATGAAATGCGGACTTAGGGCCGTATCTACGTTAGGAATACAAAACTTCGTTTAATTTTACTTTCTAATATCATCATCTTATTCTTATGCGCTACTTTTAGTTCACACTATCTTCTCTGGCCAAACTTGCCTTTTCTGACTTTCCTGTGGCCACACTTTTCCATGTAAGACTTATACCAATTGAACAATCTTGCAGCTTCAATTTCATAGTCTCCCATCTCTTCAACTGGCAACTCACAAAACTTACATCGGCTAAACTTCATTTAACTAATCCCTTCAGGAAACTCTCCATCATAATCACTTATATACTGCCATATACCACCTCCATTTCACTCATTTAAATGACACTGAGTCATTGGGACTTATTTACTAAATACTAGGAAGATAAGAAATTATGCGGTCAAAAACTGTCTTAAAAACTCACCAACAAGTTCAATGCCATTTATTTGAGACCAATTGCAAACGATATTGATGTAGCCTCCCAAATGAAATATGAAACATTCTTTTCTTTCAAACAACAAAGTCTGAAAGTGACCAACTGCATTCCCATAGATTCAGGAACACTCAGTTCCCATTTCCATAGGCTCTGAAATGATCAGCAAGCCAAAGGTGCTCACACGTTCCTATCTGTGCCAATTTTAGTTCCTTCTTGGCAACATCAACCTACATAATAGCTCTAACTGCAGCTGTTCTCTCTGACCTGTGTAGATCTCCCAATTTTCTACTAAACTCTTAGAATTTATATAGCTTTCATCATTACTGGGATTCCAGAAGTCATCAGCAACTTCTCACACATGCCTGATGCCATGAAACAATAAGCCTCCTATCCCAAAAGTAAAGTCAATGTAATTCTTGGGTTGCTGGAAAAAAGAATACACTAAGGTGGTTCTCCTTCATACAGCAGAGCCAGTGTGTCCTTTTATTTTGCCAACAGCTGGTTGAGAAGGCCTTGCCCTGGAAAATCACTAATCATATTTAAATTAGCAAATCCCTAAATGGGAGCATATTATATACCTCTACTTACATGAATAGTAACTAATTACAAACCAAAACTTCAAATCCAATGTTTCTACCCTTGTGATTGTCAATATGGGTTTTATATAAAAGTACTGTTGGTCAGGTGCAGTGGCTCATGGCTGTAATTCTCGCACTTCTGGAGGCCAAGGCAAGAGGATTAGCAAGAGCTCAGAAGTTCGAGACCAGCCTGGGTAACACAGAGACTCTTTCTCTACAAAAAATAATTTAAAAAATTAGCCAGGTGTGGTGGCATGCCCCCGTAGTCCCAGCTACTCGAGGGACTGAGATAGGAGGATCACTTCAGCCTGGCAGGTCAAAGCTGCAGTGAGCTGTGACTGAACCATGGCACTCTAGCCTGGGCAACAAAGTGAGACCCTGTCTCAACAAAAGAAAAAAAATAAAAAACAGAAAAAAAAAGTAGTTTTCTCTGATCATGGAACTTTTATATGGTGGCTTTCTACAGATTAGCAATTACATGAGCCTCTCATTGTACCCCAGTTTAAAGTTCTCTCAAGAACTTTAAGGTCTTCCCCACCAGAGCCAATCAAAGTTAATTTCATATATAGCTTACAATCTATGTTTTAAATTAGACTAAAGATGTCTTTCAAACTTGTTGAAAATCAACCAGTAACAGAAAAATGAATCATTTTTTTAGATGGATAAACTCCTTGTAGACATCACTATGTTTATCTTATTGTTATAATTTTCTTTGACCCCCCACACCTGGATCTTTCTTTTTTCAAAACGCATGCATGAAAGAACAGTTTCATACATGAAAGAGCCAGTATGTGCTGGCAGGGGTGGTAGTAAATCGGAATGAGGCTATCTATATATAACGGGAAAATGGAATGGAAGAGGGGGCCACATAGCAGAAGAGAAGGAACTTATTTCATGATTCTTGATTTCAAGGATATAAAATTGTTCATGCTAGTCAATCTTCAATTTACTAATCTTATACAATTCCATAATTTTTTTTTTTTTTTTTGAGACACAGTCTTGCTCTGTCGCCCAGGCTGGAGTGTAGTGGCATGACCTTGGCTCTCTGCAGCCTCTACCTCCCGGGTTCAAGTGATTCCCATGTCTCAGCATTAGGCACATGCCATCATGCTTGGCTAATTTTTGTATTTCTGGTAGAGAGCAGATTCCGCCATGCTTCCCAGGCTGGTCTAGAACTCCTGGCCTCAAGTGACCCGCCTGTCCCAGCCTCCCAAAGTGCTGGGATTACAGGTGTGAGGCACCGCACCTGGCCTCAATTCCTGGTACTCAAGTACCAGGCATTAGGCTAAGGACTGTAGGAACAAGGACATACGAAAAGAGTTTCTGCCTCAAGGAGTTTTAACGTTCTGAATAAGAAGTATGCTTAACAGGCCGGGTGCGGTGGCTCACGCCTGTAATCCCAGCACTTTGGGAGGCCAAGGCGGGCGGATCACGAGGTCAAGAGATTGAGACCACCCTGGCCAAATGGTGAAACCCCGTCTCTACTAAAAAGACAAAAATTAGCTGGGCGTGGTGGCACGCGCCTGTAGTCCCAGACTCAGGAGGCTGAGGCAGGAGAATCACTTGAACCTGGGACGCTGAGGTTGCAGTGAGCCGAGATCGTGCCACTACACTCCAGCCTGGCGACAGAACGAGTCTCCGTCTCAAAAAAAAAAAAAAAAAAAAAAGTATGCTTAATAACAGATTTCATTTCAGCACTCTTCACTTGTTAAAACTGATTCCAACTTGCAAAAGAACCTGTATCTGAGGTAAGCATATATAAGGTTTAACACTGACTGCTAAAATGAAATCACATAGAACCCTTAGTTATGTAAACTATATTTCTAGCCACAACATGTAAAGATCATTATTCAAATGACCTAGACACTTCTTAGGTTTAGAAACTAGAAAGACAGTCTACCAACTTCCTCCAAAAAATGGAATATGAGAAGACCATGGGCTTTGGAGTTTGACAAACCTGGGATTAAGGCTTCCATATTTAATTACTGTGATTTTACGCATTTTCCTTCACTTAACCCTTGATTTCATCATTTGTAAATATGAGAAAAATATGTATTTTGTCTTACAAATTTCTTGTTAGAATTACACCAAATGACAGAGCATGGGAAAGCATACTTCTCCAGAAACAGTTTTTCCCTTCTTTTTAAAATTTTTCTTAAATTTTTGGTAGAGATGAGGTCTTGCTAT